GCTGCTATAAATAGTGTAAAACTGATGAGAGTTCTCGAAGCTCTCCCACCATCCCGTCTATGGCATTCTTCCTAGATAATGCCCATGCAGTAGACTTATAAATAAGCTAAGCAAATGAGAAGCAATCCTGAGTGGCAATAAATGGATGTATAATGAATCACTTGGAATCATCATAAAGACTTCCCACAACAAACATTATGATAAATGGAGAAACAAGCCATGACTGGGCTGGGGGAGGATGGAGCATCCTTAACCTCTTCCTGTCACAGTGAAGGCTGAGAAATAGGTAAGAAGGCTTCTGGCTAGTGGCCCAGAGGGAACTAAAGTCTATGCCCTACAGAAGAAAGTCAGCCAGTCTCACTGGCATCAGCTTGGCCAGAGCCAAGGAGTCACATGAAGAAAGGGCAGGAACAGGAATGATACCCTGAAGAGAGTGGCTCATGGAGCCACTCAGCTTGGACACTCACCCACAAGTGAAAGGGGCAGCAGACTCTGAGGGCCAGGCTCTCAGCCTTGAATGTCCTCTCTTAGCTCTTGTTTAAAGCCACAGGAAAGTTGGGTCACTTAGGAAACTACTGCCTACCTTGAGGTGAGAAAGAAAAGGGGGGAAGGAAGGAAGGAAAGAAGGAAGGAAAGAAAGAAGGAATGAAACAAGGAAGGAGACAAGGAGGAAGAAAAGAAGAAAGGAAGAGAATGAAGGAAAGGAAGGATGGAGCAGGGAATGAAGGAGAGAGGGAACTCATATTTGTAAGGTACATTGAAGCATACATATAAAACCCTGTTCCTCATAATGACTCTACATTGTGCATTGTACTAGTATTACCAATTCATCTCTGAGTCCAGAAGTTAAGTGTGTTTCCCACAATCATTCAGCTAATAACTATGCAAATTGTGATTTGAGCCTCAGTCTTCTGGGTTCAGAGCCAGGCTCCATCCACTACACCACCAGGGTTCTCAGGGAAAGCCCCCAACATAATGGATTGATATGTGTGCCAATCTTTGGTAAGTGGATGATTTTTCTATTTATATTTTCCAAGTGTTTGTTCAACAGAAGTCAATCTCCACGTGTGTAAAATGGTCCCTTCCAGCCCAACATTGTAGGTGTTATACTTTCACTTCCTTTACTTGTATTAAAGCCCACCTTCAACTTCACTGCATGTGGTTAAAAATCTTGAAGTCGAGAGAGTGAGCTCACCATTGACAGCATTTCCCTGACTGTCCATGGTGGGCCATGCCTTACTGAGAGTGGGACTTTAAAAGCTCAGAGAAGAAAGACATACATGTGTCTGATAAACCCAAGGACTAATCACTGGAACTGCTTTGTTCAGGAAAATGTTGAAAGACTCAGCTGGAATCCCAATTCAAGGGAAGTTCATCTATAATGGCCATGTCAGGTAAGCAGAGAGGCCAATCAGGGGTGACTTCCTTCTCTAACTACATAGGAGATTGCTCAGGGGAATCATTCTAATACTTCCTCTGCTATTATGCTATTAAATAAATGGAAGCAAGCTTAATGACAAATGAGGAGTCACTCTGCTTCAATCTCAGTTAATTCGTTAGCTCGGCTCTTCCTAAGATTAATTTTAATAATGCTACTTAATGGCACAGTTTTCCTGTGTTCTATAGAATTTATTTTACCATGATTTATGCTAATCTTCATTTCCAAAGCCACATAATTTCCTATGTTATAGACATTAATGTTATAGCTCATTCTACACATTTTAAAAAAATCTTTATTCTATAGATGGAATAAAAATGCTTCCCAATTGGCTAGAAGAGAAAGAATTGACTTGCAAGGCATTTAATTCTCTCAGGAAAATATCTTTCCATATAGAGCCCCAAGTTAAGTTATTGGGAACATTCTAATCCAGATAACTTATGTTTGAACTAATGATGTAATTTTCTCATTAATGATTTTTAATCAACTGCTGCTTAATTTATTCCCTAGATTACTAGAGAACAATTTCTTTTAAAGAATCTAGGGCCCTTTAGTCAGCATTTGAATGCCATTATCATCAATCCAAATCCAATCTATGGAAAGTTCAGCTCTTTAAATTAGTCCCCAAACCAATTCCTCCTCTTATCGTCCAAATTCCTGTCATGGGAAAGCTTCTATCATAACAAAGGCTATTGTCAGATCTTCATCAGCTGCTCCTTTTACCTGGAGTGCCCCGTCCTCCCTCCAAGCTCCCCTTCTTGTTGGTTTAACTACTCATTTTTTTTTAATCCAACTGCCTTCCCTCATGCTTCTCTCACTCCATTCCTATACCTCACCCAGGTAAGTACCAATCCCATTCCTCAGATTTCACTCAGGACCTTTTTTTTCCAGCTTGCCAGTATGTTTTCCATGCACTGTTGGCATGGCACATTAATCAAACAATAAGCATTCATTAATTGTGTGTGTGTGTGTGTGTGTGTGTGTGTGTTGTGCTTTGTCACTGTAGGCTAAAGGTTGCTAACTTTTGTGTGTATCCTGTACCCCTTTGGAAATCTGGGAAAGCCTACAGCTATTTTCTCAGAATCCTGTTTTTTAAATTCATGAAGTAAAATACAGAAAATTATAAATGATATCAATTGTGCTGAAATATAGAAAAATACATTTTTCTTGACTATACATATTTGCAATGGATTTTGTTTTTCTTCCTTTCTTAATGAGTAGGAGAGAGATGGCTGGGTGGGGGGGAAGAGAATTCAGAACTGAAAATAAATAAAATTGAATGTAAAAAAGAGAAAAGAACCTGTACACTCAGGGAAATTTTGAGCTGAATGATCAAGGAACCTCTATCATTCTAACTTTATTTCTCTTCCCAATGCTCACTACAGTGTTATGAATGCAATAAGTACTTAATCAATGTTTACTGAATGAATGGATGGATGGGTAGCTGGATGACTAGAAGGATGAATGAATGAATGGATGAATGGATGAATGACTTTAGGAGTATGTGTAAGAGTGGGAAGAGGGATAATAGCTGTCTTCAAATATCTGAGTAGCTGGCGCATGGATGAGGGATAACACACTGTGTTTACCTCCAAAGGGCAAAAATTACAAGGATAGAATTGTCTGCTCCTTTCCCATAAGACCTTTGGAATTCTTAGGTGTCACTGTAGGCCCAAGTATTAAACTTACTGAATGCAAGACCCAAGCCAGTCTGGATTACAATTGGCTTAGTTCTAGCAAACTCAATTCAATTGTTGTATTTAGTTGTTTCATGGAAACTGGGAGAGCCATTCTTTCATTTTGTCCCGACCCAGGCTTGGCAGGGAAAGTGCCACATTTCAAGAATGGATGACTGGTTATATAGGACCAAGGAAGACTGGAGAGAGAGAAGGAAGAAGGAGAAAAAGAGACAATAATGAAAAGAAATGCGGCTAATGCTATGAGATAAAGGAAAGTTAGAATCCAAAGGGAGAGAGGCTGATGACAAAGTATATCCTAGGAACTCTATGTGATCTAGTGATTGGGATGGGGGTGTAGTTGCAAACTTGTGGGCAGGGAAATTTAGGGGAAGGACACAGAGATGCTGGAGTGAGTGAGTAAGTGAACGATAATATAGGAGTATGCCTGTGCTTATCCTAGGGAAGGCATAGAGGTGAGGTCCTGCGTGGTCTCTGAGAATTGACTTCTATTTTGAGGAAATGTGTACCCCCCCCCAGAACACAAACCTAATTAAGCTCAGTCACATGGTTCAGGAAAACTGCTTTGATCTATCTTTGACATTGTCAGGCCAAAAATATGTTATTCCATGATCCTAACTCTCTAAAAGAAATAATATAGTGATGATCGTGGATTTCAGGTTAACATTAGAGCTTCCAAAATATGGACTTGACTGCTTTGTCAGGGAAAATTTTCCTTCCTTGACGATGTTAAGGTGGGAACACAGAATCCTTTGCCAAGTCTGCTATGGAGAGAGTCATTCTTGTGGAGACAGCACTAGGCCGGGACTCAAGAAGACCTGAGTTCAAGTTTGGCCTCAGACACTTATTAGCTGTGTGACCCTAGGCACGTCACTTCACCTTGTTTGCCTCAGCTTCCTCATCTGTAAAGTGAGCTGGAGAAGGAAATGGCAAACCACTCCAGCATCTTTGCCAAGACAACCTGAAATGCAGTCGTAAAGAGCTGGACAAGACTGAAAAATGACTGAACAACAAAAAAGAGACTGAATTAAATGACCTCCGAGTTATTCTCCAGCTGCCAACTGACTCCTTTTCTCCCTGTACCTCTCTCCATCTCACTTTTACCTCCATTTTCTCCCATGTCTCCTTGAATCTGTTCTTTTACCTCAGTTGGTACTTGAAAATATTACTTGAAAATGTGGATTCTGACCCCCAGAAAGGAAGCATCCATAGCCTACCCATACCTCCTCTTTCCCTGATGGGCCAAACTTGGATGTTATTCATTAGTAGATGGAAAACAAATGGAGGGAATAAAGTGTCAGATCACAACAATGATGCCCACTAGAGGTTGTGTAGTAAATACCAGAAAGACCATGAAGGACAGGAAAGAAGTTGGACTGGCTATGTTGGGAGAGTTTGGAATGATAGATGGAAAGGCCAATTGTTGATTCATATCCACAGAATGGTAAAAATAAATAAACTAACAGATAAAATAAAGCTGTCATCACAAAGAACAGAGCATTCATGAGGGGATTAGGGAAGGATCATGAACAAAAGCAACACAGGGAAAGAGGCCAGGTTGATCCCTACAGATGAAAGGAATTCCTATGCCAGTGAGTTCTTAGAATCACACCATCTTATATTAAGAGCACTGGGGGCTCTCAGAGGCATCCAGTCTAACCCCCACATTTTACAAATGAAGAGACATAGGCACAAAGAAGTCAGAAGACTTTACCAGCCCAAGGTCAATAAATGTATTAAGGGGCAGAACAGAAATTCAAATCCAAGTTCTCTGATCTGGTCTTCCCATCTCCCATGTTGCCTCAACAGCCTCAATTAAATTGACTTATCATCAATTTCAAAATGTCAAGGTCCTAGATACTTACACTCAGCATACTTCTGGAGCTGAGAGAATTCAGAAGGACTAAGGTGAGCCCACTTCTCCTGGTTCGTCATAATGGCTTCCAAGTTCCCTGTCACATATCAGGGGACTTCACAAAAGCTGGGTTGCAAGAAGCCTGTGCGTTAGTGATTCCACATGATCAAATGGTCAGATGATAATTCCAGACAGTAAAATAGATGATGAGTTGGTGCAAGATGTGTGCTGATGCAAGTCTTTCCCTCTAAGGACAGGTGAAAGCTCTGTAAAAAGAAAAGAGAAAAGGGATGATTTGAAGCTATAGCCATCACATGGCACTTCCTGATTACCAAAATGACATTTTCTGTTTCTCAATATAATGTTCTCTAGTTGCTGATGTTCTTTGCATTACAAAGATCTTTATTCCTTTGGCATATAATAATTACTGCCTATAATTTTAAATTTCACAAAGCACTTTTCAGATAATATCTCATTTGAGAGGCAAAAACCTTGTGAGATACAGGATGGTTTTGTAACCGTTTCTCAGCTAAGGAAACTGAGGCTGAAAGAAGTAAATTATTTGCTCAGGCTTACAGAGCTGGTAATTGTTATGGGGTAAAATCTGAACCCAGATCCCATGTCTAATGGCTGTATGGTTAAAACAAAAACAAAACACTGAACTTGGGAGTCACAAGAACTCAGTTCAAATTCTGACTCTCCACTGTGTGACTAGCAGAAAATAAACTGAGGGAGTTGGACTAGATGACTTGTAAGGTTTCTTCGAACTCTAAATGTTCGGCCCTGTGCTTTTTATTATCGTTCAGTTGTGCCCAACTCTTCATGACCCCATTTGGGGTTTTCTTGGCAAAGATCCTTCAGTAGTTTGCTATTTCCTTCTCCAGCTCATTTTATGTATGAGGAAACTGAGGCAAAGAGGATGAAGTGACTTGCCCAGGGTCACATGGCTAGTAATTGTTGGAGGTCAGATTTGAACACAAGGAGATAAGTCTTCCTAAATTGAGGGTGGCCACTCTCTGCACTATGGCGCCACCTAGCTGCCCCAAATCCTATGCTTGCAGCCCCCTTAAAAGGAAGGGATTTCATTTTTACCTCCTGTCACATAGTAGAGGTTCACTACATGCTTTACCAATTGAATTTAATTATTAGATGGGGTAAGGAACTATTATAACACCAAAACCAGCAAGTGAGAGCTAAAGTAACATCTGATGCGCTAACAGGAAAGATATCAAATCTGAATGTAACCCTACATGTGAGTGAAGCCAAGGAGTTAGTGGACAGCTGGATGGGTCAAGTTTAGAGACCTCAGGAAGAGGAACAGGGGAAATTGTGAGCTTTGAGATTGTCCTCATTGTTTTTTTTTTTGTTTGTTTGTTTTGCTAAAACCCAAATCCTATTTTGTAAACCTCCTTTCCATAACTTGAGATAAAAAGAAAGGCTTGAAATGCAAAGGACTAATTGAGTTCATCTGAGATCAGTCAACAAGCAGACAGGCTGCTACTTAAATGAGAATGCAGGAAGAGACTAGCCTCTTAACAGGAGGGAAGATGCTCTCCTCACCCATTGATGAGTGCAATAGCTTCCTAATGCCCCCCCCCCACAAGAAGGGCCCAACGAGCATAGAAGAGGGAATCTCCTGAGAAGGGAAGGAAGGGGATTCCCAAAGGAAGAGAAACTCAAAGCCCTGTCCAGTTGGCTTTCCCTACCCCAGGCTCTAAGAAGGGGGGCAGCAAGGACTTTCTGCCAACCCTCTGCCCAGAGAGTCAGTCCTGCTTTATAGTTTTTGTAATCATGATTTTTCTTTTTTTTTAATGCAGCTGACTCCATAAAAAAAAAAAAAAAAAGAAAAAAGAAAAAGCTTTATTTCCCAGGAATTCTTTAATCAAAGTATCACTGGACCAACTCACACTCATAAATAATGCACTTGGGCTTTGGGACTGATCCTAAATACATTGTTTCCAATATCATTTTACAAAAGAAAAAGAACATGACTTTCTTAGAAAATTTTTACATCAATTTGATGCATTAACTCAAATCTCCCTCCCTCCCGTTTTTCCCTAACAACCCTAACATGCCTTCTCCGAACTAGGGGCAGCCAATTTGCATCCTGATGAGAAAGATTTCCAAAGTAAAGGCAACACTGTAGGGCTCCAAGCAATTATGCTTTAGGTCTGAAGCTCGGCTCAATTCCCTTCAGAAAAAGCAGTTCAAAGGACGTCTTGCTCCCCTTTCCTCTCTACCCCTCCCCATCTCCTCCTACACGCCAGAAAGGAAGGCCAAGGATGGCAGAGGGGAGGGGCGTCCACCCTTGGCTCCTAAGGCAGCCAGAACACAGAGTCCTTTACTGAGCCCTGGGTCCTGAGAGCTTTGGGAAGACTTCCGAAAGGAAGACAAGGGTTATTCTTGTACTTGGAGTCTTCCCCACTCCCCAACATGAAGGCTGAATGAATGACCACTCATTGGGCATGTTATAGCAAGGATACTTTGGGGAGTAAAGATTGGATTAAATGATATCGGGGATAGAGCACTGGACTTGGGGTCAGCAAGACCCGAGTACCTAGTAGCTGTGGAACCCTGGGAAAATGTCTTCATCTCTCTGTGCCTCAATTTCCTCATCTATAAAATGGGAGTAATAATTCTTTAAAGCACTTTTCAAATCCTAAAGCACTATATAAATGCTTACTATTATTAATACTGATATTGTTATTATCATCATCATTGTTATTGTAGTAGAGCAGATAGTTGTTGGATCTGAAGTCAACAAGAACCAGCATTCTACCATTGAAAGTTATGCTGACTCAGGGACTCATTGCTCCCAGGCCTGTGTGTTGATCAGTGTTGGGGGAGGTGTCACCCAGTCCCCTGATATTTGTCACATAGTCAAGTCACCCGTGTCAGCACATGGTCATGTAGCTGCTACCTTGGGGAGGAACCGAGATGCAAGGGCCCAACCTCTTTTGCTGACACTGACCTATCTGAATTGTCTTTATCTCTTATCACCAAAAGCTGGCCCCACCTCTAAGCCATCTCTGATCTCCGTTGATCAGCCCATCAGTGTGTTGCTACCTTGATTTACTAGTAATAAGCTACCTTTAATTTTCTGTGTCCCGAGTTTAGCCTTGTTAGTCAGGGTGAAAGCCCAAACAAAGAATTTTCCTCTCAACACTTTCCTGACTCAGACAATTACTAGCACTCTAACTGTAAGCAAGTGCTTTAATTTCTCTAAACTTTTATTTTCTCTCTCTCTCTCTCTCCTTTCTTCCTTCCTTTTTTCTTTTCCAATGCATTAAAAAAAGCCTACCTAGATACTCAAATGCTAAATCCCATGGATTTGGAATTTCCTCCCAGTACTGTAAATCCCAACCTATCCATGCCCACCCATTCTGTAGGATCCTCAACTTTATCTTCCCCCAAATTCCCCACAGGGAAGTATGGCTACACGACATGCCAGATGCCTTCCTCTACTTCCGTCAACATTGCAAGGGTGCCAGGGGAGCACTTCAGCCATCCAACACCTTGACTCTCTGGATCTCTTTTGTCTTTCTATCTTCAGCATCTAAGCCATCTTTTCCTGCCATACAAGTCCTAATAACCTGTTCTTCTCCAGAGTTCCTCATTGGTTCCACGCTACAGTCTACTCACAGCAACCATGGACTTTCCTCCTCTCTGAGTGATGTTCATATTCAGGTCTTCAGAGGCATGGTGGTCAGGGTCTCACTCTACATAGCAATATGAGTAAATTAGTTGTAGTGGCTAAGGCAGTTGCTTTTATGGGAAGCTTGGAAAGAGTAGAAATGCTTTGCCATTTCCCAAAAGCAATCCAGTCCATTATCTTCCTCATTTTCAGTTCCGGGCTCAGCCTATTGTCTATCTTTATTTTTCATCCCAATCACACGTACTTTTATACAAGCTCTATTGGGTACTCATTCTGTTGCATATTGAAATCTGCACGACAGACATTCTTTGTCCAGTTGGTCTTTACCATGTGCATGGACAGGCTAAACACCTTCGGGTGATTGTTGATTTCTTCCTGGAGACTTCAGTGTCCTGAGGCCTGATACAATGAACCCCATCCACAGGAAATCAGTGGTTGTCTGGGATTCTGCTTGGGATCCCCTCCATTTCTATGGAAAATTCTTTAGTAAGCATATATGTCCCTCTTTTATAATTAATCTGATGTTTATTATCAGAGGATTATTGAACAAGGCTATATCAGTGATTGTGTCTTCCAAGCAATTTTGAATGCTACTGATGTGGGAGATCCCCTGCTATGACAAAATTTCTAAGGTGGAAGTTTGGCCTACTCAGTTGAATTTTTTAAATGATAAATAATTAGCACAACAGATTCTTATAGTGTCTGCCTGTTTCAACCTATTTGGAGATAGCAAAGATGTCATCCATCATTGACTATCACTTTGAAAGTCTGCTCATTCCTTAGTAGTGGCCTTGAGGACTCCCTCAGCACCTGCATAGATGACCCTCCCAAAGATAGCGATGGGAGAGTAAGCACACACATTGGTTGTTGTTAATGTTCATTTTCTCAATCATTTATTTGGGGAACTAAAAAGGTTGGAAATTTTTTCCCAGGCTTATATCTTTGCCCCTTTAGACAACTTGCAAATTAGTTCTGTGATATCCTCACAGGCATATCCTCTAGCACGGGAGGAAGGGAATAAGGCAATACACATTTACATAGTGGCTAATATGTGCCAGATACTTCCTAAGTATTTTTTTAAAATATATTACTTGATTTTCACAACAAACTTACAAAGTAAAGTTGCTACTATTATCCCCGTTTTACAGTGGAGGAAAGAGAGGCAATCGGAGGTTAAGTGACCTTCCCAGGATCACACAAAGTGTCTGAGGCTGGATCTGAACTCAGGTTTTCCTGACCCAAGGCCCAGCACTCTACGTACTGTGCCACCAGCTGCATGGGTTTACTGCACACATACGTGGTTGATCTGGCTACTTTTCCTATCTTCATTCTCTTTAGCCCCATGTACTTCCTCTATAAGTTCCCTTAGGGACTGGGACAGTCAGGCCTAATGGAGACAGTTCTACTATACTTGATGGAGAAATC